ACACACACACACACACACACACACACACACACTCACACACGGGACGCCTGCTCTGAGCCTCTGCTGCCAGACTGTGGCCGTCAGTAGGACATCCACTGAGGGCTCCCGGACTGTGAGAGGGGCAGGCTGGGCTGAGGGAACCCCCACCCCCCAGTGCACGAATTTCGTGCACCGGCCTTCTAGTCCTATATAATAAAAGCCTAATATGCTAAGTGTCCGACCGTTCATTTACCAATCAACCAGCTGCTATGATGGGCACTGACCATCAGGGGGCAGACACTCTAACTGGTAGGGTATCTTGCTGCTGGGATCTGGCTGATCAGGACTGGGCGAGGCTGGCAGGACAAGCCCTGGAGACCTCCTGCGGACCCTCCCTGGCCTCTAAAATATTTCTTCTAATTAATTTCCTTTCGATGTGCAGGAATCCATGCACCGGGCCTCTAGTAGTCTAATATTTTTTGAGTGAGAGCAGGATGTATTCCAATCTTTTATGCACTTTAATGGCTTCAATTTGTTGTTTGTATGTCTGTTCCACAATATATTTGAAGTCATTCACTATTGGACTTTGGTATTTGTTAACTTTAACTATTGTAAATAGTGGTTCAATGGACATTGTTGTACATTTCGTTTTGCATGTTTATCTGATTTCTTAAGTTGTTATCAATAATATCTGATGGGTCTAATGCATCATTAAACTTTTCAGTAATATATTGTCTTCAAGAAACACTGTACCAGTTTTTGCTCCCACTTGTCATGTATGAAAAGGTGCATTTCCTTTAATTCTGGCCACACCAGTTTCTCAGTTTTTCAGTGTTTTCTAACATGGTAAATCCATTGTTAATTTGCATTTATTTAATAATTAATGATACAGTTCTTTACTATGTATGTATACTCATATTTACCATTTGCATTTCTATTTTCCCATCCATTGTGAAATCATCTATTGGGTCATAGAAGTTTTGGAAACTTTGGAAGGTTTTAAAGCATGCCTTTGGTTTTAAATTTGTGACTAGTGTCTTCTGCCATATTGAACCTCCATATTTTATACTGTAATAATTAATGGAAAAAGTGACCTTTTTATATGTCTTGATTCAAAATTTTCCCCCTAGTAACTTAAATGTCCTATTATTTACATTTATTTTTTGTTTCTTTCCTTCTTTATTTAATTTTAATTGAATTTTTGCATGCACCTACTTCTAGATTCCCTCATCTACTTCTGACCCTTTTTTCAATTCATGTACCAGCTCACATTTACAGATATTTTCTAGCAAAATATTTTTATATTTGTGTCTGTTTAGGCAAATTCTTCCTTGAGTTTGTCCATAATATTTTTGGTAAACGTTTGCCCTTCTCACAGCTATTTTTTTATCTAACACAATTCATAATAAATTTAAACTTGCACAATTTCATAACATCTAGCCTCATAATTTCTATGCCTTTCTAGAATAAGATATTTCAGTTGTATCAAAAATGTTATCTACTTGTATTTTAAAATACAAGAGACAAATAATAGTAAATTTCTGTTTTATGAAAAGATAATTCATGGACATTTATTTTGTAGAATTTTATTTTAGAAATTATTTCCACATTAAAATAAACACTACCTCCAATATTCTAAATTATAATACTTTAACAATGTGCATTGAAGAATAATGACAAATATTGCATTTAATTTTTTATTGTATATATAGTATTTTTATTCTTCATTTGGTTTTGGTTTTAGGTTTGCAATACTAAGTTTAATTGCCAATGTGATATCGGATATTCTCCTCCAAAATGTGTGCGAACACTGTCATCACCAGGAGGAAGTATCGATGATGGGTATTGGATTTTGCCTGAGGGTTGGTATCTTGATCAGTGTGCTCCAACAGAACTTTCTGCACTTACAGTAATGTTCTACATCTCCACCATTGATGTGGCTATTGATCACCTGGCATGTGGATAGTGCAACTAAGGAGCTAAAATTTCCATTTTATTTTACTTTATTGAATTTAAATTTAAATAGCCATTTTGGCTACTCTATTACACAGTGCAGCTAACTCTAAATCATACTTTTAATCAAAATGTTGTATACTCTTATAATTCAAATCTAGAAGTGAACATTTCAATAGGCTTCTCCCAAAATTAACCATGGTTACTCATACATTTCTTTTTATACAGTAGAGTTTTCTAGATTAGTGTTATTAAATGATGGAATAGGTGATAGTTTCAGTATATAGTTTATATCTCAAGAATTAGCTATTGTAATGTGCTAGTTCAAAACTAAGTTGCATTTTTAAAGTTAACTATACTAGAGAAAGTTAAAAATAATAAAATCTTTCATAACCATCCCATATGAATAGTAGGTAGTACAAAACATTTTTCCATGTATTTGGTGAACGTTCACAAACAAATGTAGTGTATCTGATTTTTCTAAACTTCACAATGTGTAAATCTCAGAAGAGTTTATTTCCATTAATGTCTTTCCACCATTGGTACTTTTGCTGTTAGTATTTTATTTGTATATTGTAGTATAACACTGTACATTATTTGCCTTAGGTAGCTGATAGATTGTTAAATATTTTTAATACAAATATTTACATTTGCCCACAGATTTACTGTTCTCTAGGGCTTTTCAACTCCTCCAACCCATTAGCAGTTTTCTATGGGTCATTTCCTTTCAGCCTGAAAAACTTCCTTTTGTATTCCTCTTTTTTTCTTTCTATCTTGCAGTCTTTGTCTTTAAAGTGTTTGTATAATGTCTAAATTTGTGAAGGATATTTTCACTGGAAATAGATTTCTACATTCAGAGTTGTTTCTCTCAGATGTTCAAAGATATAATCACATTGTTCCCTGCCTTTCATATGCTGATGAGAATACCGCTGTCATTCTTATACCTCTCAATAATATAATGATTTTTTTTATTTTTTGTCTGAGTTTCAGACTTATTTTCCAGTTTTGATTTTCCAGTTTCACTATGATATACCAAGATGTGTTTTTCTTTGAATTTTTCCTGCTTGGATTGGCTGAGATTCTTGAATCTATAGCTTGATGTATTCTTGGAAATTTTGAGAAATAAATACTAGCCATTATCTCCTTTTTAATATTTATTTTTATTATACATGTTTGGCTTTTAAAAAATTTATACACTTTATGTATTCTCTCTGGGGTATACAATTCTATGGGTACAGAAAAAAATGAGCAGACTTGTTTTCCTATTAGCTGTCATCATGATACACAATAGACCTGTCACCCCAAATTCTCCCTCTGGTTTCACCTTTGCAGTCAACCCCTAATGTCAATTCCTGGAAAAGAAGTATTTGTTCTCTGTCCCTAGATACTTCCTTTTCCCAGAATGACATATGCATTTGGTATTCATTTCTGTTGTCATGTGTTTTAATAGTTCATTCATTTTTATTTTTAACTAGCCTTCTATTGAAAAGATGTACTATAATTTTCTTATCAATGCATCCATTGAAGATTATTTGTGTGTTCTTTCAAGATTTTGGTAGTAAGAATAAAGCGATATAAACATGAATATAGAATTATATATATGCATATATATATGTATATATATATGTATAATATATATAATGTACTTATAGAATACACATATATTGTCACTTTTGGGTGGGTAAACACCAGGGGAAAATATTGTTGGGTCACTTACTAAGTATATTTTTTTACTGAGTGTACTTTTAATATTTTAGGTAATAGCCAAGCTATTTTCAAAAGTGGCTGCACACATTTTTCTTCCCCCCATTCATCAATGAGAGATCCAGTTTCTCTGCACCAACAGTCCACAGTTCACAAGCACTTGATATTGTTATTTTTTTGTTTATATGTTTTGTTTGATATTGTGTTGCCAGTTTTATATATGTAATCATATCCTATTGGGTTTTTATTTAAACTTTTATGTTGAAATAATTATGGATTCACAATGAATTGCAAAAGAAACATAGATGGAAGTTCTGTGTACCTTTCAGTCAGCCTCCATCAATGGAAATGTGTTGCAGTACTATAGTACAAATCAAAGCCTGGAAGTGGATATTGATAAAATACATAGAAATTTTCGGTCTTCATCCATATACATGCACTCATTTATGCATGTGTTTGTGTTTTGTGGTTGCACTTGTGTGTGTATTTAGTTCTGTGCAATTTTGTCACATGTTCAAATTGGTGTAGTCACCACCGTAATCAAAATGCAGAACTGTATCATCACTACATGTTTTATCACTAAACTAATATTAGTCCTTTGTACAGCTATGCTGATTCCTTCTTTCCTCCTTTCCTAATTTCTAGCAACCCTGAACTGCTCTGTCTCTCTAATTATGTTATTTCATGAATATTATATAAATACATTCATACAATTTGTGTCTCTTTAAGATTGACTCTTTTACATAAATTTCATGAACTAAATGTAAGTTGTTGCATATGTAAATACTTCATTTTTAAATTTTTATTGTTATTTCTTTTTATGGATATACTAGAGGCCCGGTGCACAAAAATTTGTACACTCGGTGGGGTGGTCCCTCAGCCGGGCCGGTGCCCTCTCGCAGTCTGGGACCCCTCAGGGGATGACCACCTGCTAGCTTAGGCCTGCTCCCCGGGGGATTGGGCCTAACATGGCAATCAGACATCCCTCTGGCAACCCGGCAGCCCTCGGGGGATGTCCACTTGCCAGCGGGGAGCAGACCTAAGCTGCAGTCAGACATCCTTAGCGCTGCTGAGGAAGTGGGAGAGGCTCCCACCACCACCGCTGTACTGGCAGCCATCAGCCTGGCTTGTTGCTGAGCAGGGCTCCCCCATGTGGGAGCGCACTGACCACCAGGGGGCAGCTCCTGCATTGAGCATCTGCCCCCTGGTGGTCAGTGTGTGTCATAGTGACCATTCATTCCCAGTCTTTCTGCTGTTAAGGTCAGTTTGCATATTACCCTTTTATTGTATAGGATAGAGGCCTGGTGCACGGGTGGGGGCTGGCTGGTTTGCCCTGAGGGTGTCCCGGATCAGGGTGGGGGTCCTGCCTGGGTGCCTGGCCAGCCTGGATGACGGGTGATAGCTGTTTGCAGCTGGTCACACCCCCTTCAGGGTGGGGGTCCACACTGGGGTGCCTGGCCAGCCTGGATGAGGGACTGATGGCTGTTTTCAGGCTGGCCACACCCCCTTTAGGGTGGGGGTCCCCACTGGGGTGCCTGGCCAGTCTGGGTGAAGGGCTGAGGGCCGTTTTCAGGCTGGCCAATGACTGAAGCTCCCAGCCTCTCCTTTTTTTCTTTTTTTCTTTTTATTCTGAGATTTATTTACCTTCTATAATTGAAAAAAGCAGGTATCTGGGGTTTGTTTAGCTTCTATAATTGAAACATTGTTGCTTCCAGAGCTCAGAGCCCAGCAGCGGCAGGCAGGGAACCTTGGCTTCCTCCATCACTGGAGCAAGCAAGTCTCCTGCTTGCTTCAGCTGCATGGCTGCTGGCCGCCATCTTTGTTGGCAGTTAATTTGCATATCCTGCTGATTAGCCAATGGGAAGCGTAGTGGAGGTACAGTTAATTACCCTTTTTGTCTTTTATTAGATAGGATCAACTTGTCTTTAATTATTCACCCACTGAAGGACATTTGGTTGGTTTCTAATTTTTAGCTATGGATAGTATGAATAAATTTGCAATGAACATTCATGTAGAAGATTCTCCATAAGAGCAAATTTTTAATTGTCTAGGAAACATGTCCAGCAATGAAATTGCTGGATTGATAGTAAGCCTTTTGTAGTTTTAAAAGCATCTGCCAAACTATTCCAGAGTTGCTGATCACTTGACATTGATATCAATAATATATGAATAATTTAGGTTTTTGGCATCCTCACCAACTAATTTTTAAGCCATTCAATTAAGCATATAATAATATCTCATTGTGGTTTTAATTTGCACTTTCCTAATGGGTAATGTTGTTAAATTTATTTAATATGCTATTTGGCATCTGTATATCCTTTTTGACAGAAAGACTTATAAAATATCTTAATTATAAAATATCTTCCTCCATAAATATTCTTTCCTTTAGCACTATGAGCAATAAAATAAAATTTCTGAATTCTCAGTTATGTTCAATAGAAATTAACATAAAAAGACTGAAATGGACCTAACGGTTCTTTTGTACCTTCTTGGAAGTGGATACATTACTTAGGGCAACAAAATCAGAAAACTTCAATTTTGCAATAGAATAAATTTGGGAGACCAGACATAAACCCTCACTTATGTAGTCTAATGATTTTCCATAATGATGCCCTGGCCATTCAATGGGGGAAAGGAGAGCCTTTTCAGCAAATGGTAATAGGATAGTAGATATCAACAAGGAAAAGAATACACTTGGATGTTTACTGAAACCATATGCCAAAATTAACCACAAATGGATCCGAAATTAAATGTGAGAGGTAAAATGATAAAATTCTTAGATGAAAACAGAGGAAATATTAAAAACATTGGGATTTGCAATAATTAATTGGGTATGGCACCAAAAATACAGAAAACTTATGTAGATAAATTTGAATTCATCATAATCAAAAACTCTTTTCTTGCAAAGAGAAGTATCAACAAAGTGAAAAAGATTGCCCATGCTATGTTAGAAAATGTTTGCAAATTATATACCTGATAAATTTAATATCCATAATATGAAAAGAACTCCTGCAACTCAACAACAAGGAAACAACCCAATTAACAAATGGGTAAAAGACTTGAATAAACATTTCTACAAAGAATTTACCTCAGCCGTAACCGGTTTGGCAAAGTGGATAGAGTGTCAGCCTGCGGACTGAGGGGTCCCAGGTTTGATTCCGGTCGGGGGCATGTACCTTGGTTGCAGGCACATCCCCAGTAGGGGGTGTGCAGGAGGCAGCTGATCGATGTTTCTCTCTCATCGATGTTTCTAACTCTCTATCCCTCTCCCTTCCTCTCTGTTAAAAATCAATAAAATATATTAAAAAA